GCCCTACCTCAGCCTCTCAGCAACATTTTAGTTGTTTCCTGAAGTTCCTACTCTGATAGATGTGTGTTTGCCTTTCATCACATCAGTAACCATTTTTTGTGTCCCTTTGTCCCTAGAACTCCCACTGCACTATGTCTATAAGGAGGAGGAGACTCCTGCTAACCTGCTCTGTAATCAGAAGAGGAACTCTGGGCTGCACCAGAAGGCTCCAGACCAGTTACAGATGAAAGAGGAACAAGAGGAATCCTGCACCAGTCTGGACAAGGAGGACCCAGAGCCTCTACAGATGAAAGAGGAACAAGAGGAACTCTGCACCAATCTGGACAAGGAGGACCCAGAGCCTCCACAGATGAAAGAGGAACAAGAGGAATTCTGCACCAGTCTGGACCAGGAGGACCCAGAATCCTCAGAGATTAAAACGGAAAAGCTATATTCTTGTAGATCATGTGGGAAAAGTTTTTGTCGTCAGTATCACTTGAGGCTTCACATGAGAACTCACACAGGTAAGAAGCCGTACTCCTGTGAAACCTGTGGAAAAAGTTTCAATGAAGGAGGTAATTTGAAAGTCCACATGAGAACTCACACAGGTGAGAAGCCGTACTCTTGTGAAACCTGTGGAAAAAGTTTCANTTTGAAAGTCCACATGAGAACTCACACAGGTGAGAAGCCGTACTCTTGTGAAACCTGTGGAAAAAGTTTCAGTTACTGGGGAGCTTTGAATGTCCACATGAGAACTCACACAGGTGAGAAACCGTACTCTTGTGAAACCTGTGGTAAAAGTTTCAGTCAAGCATCTCATTTGAAAGCCCACATGAGAGCTCACATTCTGAATCATCGGTGGAAGAAATAACTTTAACAGGTTGAATGTTTTACAGCAGTTTCAGACTGTGTTTCAACAATAATTGTGAGGAAATATGTCAGCAGTCCTTGATGATTAGACCAGATGGAGTCTAGATGGTGGTGGTGGAGCCAGGAGAAGAACCAGGCTGAACATCTGGATAAATGTAGTACTGGTACAGGCTGCTGTATTTTTGGTATCATCCTTCATCCTTCATCAGCGTAGCAGTGATGTGAGATATTGTGAAGCTCTTTGGAACATTTTCACATCCTGCTGGAAGAACATGGCTGA